ACCTAGCTAGTAAGTACGTTTGTAGAGTGCATGGGCTTTACTGGGGCAAAGGATGCTCGCCTGGCTCCTGAGTTGGGGTACACCCTGCCTTTGTACCATCCTGCTGGTTTTAGGCACAGACAGACAAACCTCTCTGTGTGGTTCAGGAACTGCAGGCTGAAATCTCGTGCTGGAGACAACATTTTAATGCTGTGTGGGATACATCTAGCCCTGTGCATCAGTTACCCAAGTAGAGATGGTATGAAAATTGGAAACTGATGGAGGAGTTTCAGGAAAGCTGGTTTCTAAAACCCAGCCCTTAGCCTCTGGGTGCATCTGGCTGAGGTCTCAGTGCCCGAAATGCCTCAGGGGTCCCTGTCTGTCGGGCATCTATGTGTGCTGCCACTGTGACCTTCCTCCTAAACGTGACTGAATGCCAAAGCCCTGGAGGGTTGCCCATCAGCTCTCCTTTTGTACCAGACAAAGTACTTTGCAAGGTAAGGAGGGGTCGGGGCATTGGGAGGAGATGGGAAAAGCTCAGCTGATACCAGGATCAGGATGTATGGGATGGGCTTGGAGAGACCTGCTGATCCCATGGGCAAGCAGGACATTGCTGAGCAGTTGTTGGAGCTGTTTTCTTTTTGTTTTTCTTTTAAAAAATTTGAGTTGAAGATCCTGGCTAATTTCTAGGCCCTTTCTCCTGCAAATTTTAATTAAAAAAAGGAGTAAGTGACTTGGGTCTCTGACATGATCCCTTATTAAATTCACTCTCACAGACTTCCTTTGATTCAGTCAGAAAAACTTAATGAGAACTTAACCTGATGGGAGCTCATTCCCTTAAGGCTGGGCTGATGTTTGAGCCTGGCACAGCCACCAAGGAGGGGGGTCCCTGTGAAGCCAGCACTAATCCTGTCTGGCATCAGGGGAGCGTGGAGGGCGCTGCCTGTGCCAGGTTGTTGGATGTCTGGGCTGTTACTAACGGAGCTGTGAATTACTCTCGCTCTGTAGGATTACTGGATGAGCCTTGGCTGGTCATAGACCACGTGCTGACTTCAGGGGAGAGCCTGTTTCTCCTATAAGAAACTGGGATTTAAGTGCGTGCCATGAATCCCCCCCTTTTACCTTCCCTCAGCAAGCAAAGCCATGCCAAGGAAGGCCGCAGCAGGGGAGCTGGGCTTTGGACCCTGCTGTGCCACCCTCCCCGGGCACCGACACCCAGGGCCAGCCTGGAAGAGGTGTCACAGTGCTGGCACCGGGTCGGCTGATGCTCTCCTCAAAGCCAGCTTGCTAAAAGCCTGGAGTCTTAATTCTCTTCAGTACAAGTAAATGAATTTGATTCATACCCCCAGGCAACTTCTCTAAACATTCAGGCCAACTTCTCCTCCAGTAAGAGATTATATTTTTTTTTCTTTAAAATCTGTCACTTTTTACTTGTGTCTCAGGTGAAAATCGAAGTGCCCACTAGCTCTCTAGATGTGCTAGGCAGGCTGGTGGGATCTCCCAGTAGCTATTGTAGGGTTGCTCCACGTAGCCAAAGCAAGAACTGGAGGTACTTAGGTGAGAAAATTGCAAAGAAAAATGGTTTGTAGCAGCAAATTTCCTTCCAGAAGAATACGGGTTTCCGCTTTTGTGACGCACTGTGGGCCCCATGGCAGCCCGGCTGCGTTGTACACAGAGGAGAATTACAGTGGGAATAACTAACGAGGCAGTAACAGTGAGCATTAAATTGTGCGTTTTCTTTCTGTAGCAGAGGGAGCTCTCTGTGGAATCCTTCAGCGTGGCATTTTGTGGGATGGGACTGCATTGGGTTGCGCAGGAGGGCTTGGTGGTCCTCGGCTGAGCAAGCCCTTCAGGCTGGGTGCAGCCGTGACCCTTGGCAGCTGTGTTTGCTACCAGGATGCTCCATGGGGACTCAAAGGCAGAGGTGTGCTGGGACTGGGGCATTACAAGGCAGCCATAGGTGACAGGCAGCGCTGCTGGGGAAGGGCAAAAGCAACTGCAGCTGCCCCTTTGGCTCGCAGAACCAGCAATCCCAAATCGAGTTGGTCTTTTGGCATTCTGGGGCTTGGAGGCTGACGGGACACTAATGGCCTTGCTGGCAGGTTTCCTCGGGAAGGAAAGGGAGCGGGACCTTCTCCAGCACTTCGTGCCGTAGCTACGGCTCCTTCCCAAGCTTTCTGCAGGAGCGGAGCTCATGGTGGTACAGCCACCAAAGGCTATTGCACAAACGTGTCTGGTTTGGTTCTGTTCTGCAAAGACTGACTTCAACCACTTTCTTTACTAAATCTTTTCTTTCCTTTTCAGCTCAACCCCATCCTGGGTTCCCCTTGGGTGCTGCAGCAGGCACTCAGCCTTGCACACCGTTGCTATCTAGTGGCCAGAGGAAGGTACTGGGTGCATTTGTCTCTGCTGAGCTTGTGCAAGAGGACCGTACTACTGAGACAGAGGCAGGAATCTGGTACATGTAGTCATGCAAAGCGTCAGGATTATTGCTATTTTTTTTTTTTTTTTCCAGTGGGTTAGCTGTCTGAAAATTTTTTTGGTTGACGGCGCAGTCGCTATGGAGGACTAAATTATTTAAGATATAATCCATTGCCGTTGTAGACTGCATAGCTACAGGACTTTGTAGTAACAGGTTTGCTGTGCTTGAAATCTACTGGAAAGTAGAGCAGGGACAAGCCACATTACAAAGAAAAAAAACCACTGGTAACATAATATACTCAACATTTTATTATAAAACCCTCTAAAGCGCCACTTTATAGGTCACAGTTACAACAAAGGAAATGGCTTGAGTTAGGAAAACAATGGGGATACAGGGACATTGTGTAACGGTTCTTGTCTGGGGAATGTGTGTGTTGCTCAGGACTTGCCTAGGTTTACCATCGCCTGGTGGGGATATCCCAGCAGGACCACTGAAGCTGACTGGGCTGTGGGGCGGAAAGCAGAGCTGCTCTCGGCCATCGCTGTCTCAGCACCGCTGTGAAAAGCCTGGACAACTTCTGGAGGACAGCAGGGGGATGTATGGTGAGGGCATGGTACTACACAATAGATGTAGGGTATAGAGAGGGGCCCCTGCCATCTCATGATGGGGCATAACAAAAGCTTCATGGTGTCCATGGCCTCCCCTTACTTTGGAAAGGAAAGTCCCCTGGGGCCTGAACCAGAAGTTTCAGTTGTTTATTTGCATGAGTTTTACCTATGTGCAAACCTTGCACGGGGACAGGTCTGACAGCTGGGGCTGATGAATGTCTCCTGGGGCCAGAGATAGCAAATTCATCCATCTGCACTGCAGCAGCAAAAAAAAAAAAAACATAACCACAAATGTAGGAGTGAAGGCACCTTTCTTGCCTCCAGGATACCCTGCCTAAGTGCTCTGTTGCACCCCAGCTCCATGGTGGTAGCAAGCAAGCCCAGAGCCCCTCGGCAGCACAGCCCCACTCACCCCAGTGCCACCACCAGCTCCGGGTGTCACAGCCCTGCACCCACTCCCCCCCCCATAGTTGAGCCTTTGTGCAAAGAAGGATCATCCCTTTAGAGGTGGCCTCAGGCCAGGTTTTCAAGGGCTGGGAAGGTACATTTTGCTTGTCTGTGTGCACCTTGGCTCTGTGTGATGCTCATCAGTGTAGCTGCAGGACCCCAGGAACAACACAACCAGGTTACTGGTGCTGCTTTAGCTTCACAAGATTGGAAAACAGCTGCAGCCCAGGCACAGTCAACCCCAACACTGAGCCTGGGCCCCAGGGCTGAAGGACCACTGGGGTGCCTCCAGGCCATCGACCATGACAGCAGGTTACAGGGAGGGGAGGGTGCATGGATTTCTGACACCACCTACACCCTTCAAATCTCAACCTCTCTAGCAATCCCAAATGGCCAACATCTTTAATTAGAAAGCTTGGCTAGTGCATAGAGGGGTTGGGCTTTGTGAGCCACACTGCCAGGGCCCAAAGACTACGTTAAGTTTAATAATTCGGAAATAAGGGTGACAGCACCAAGATGGCCAGCAGCCCACCAGAGACACGGCCGTGTAACCTCGCCTGGAGAGCCCTGGCCCTGTGGGATGGGGATGTCTTCAGCAGATTGTACAGCTGTGGGGTTGGCTTGGCCTGCTGTGGCTCCGTGGGGACCAGAGAGCATCAGCAAAGTGGTGCACACAGCCAGGGCAGGAGCATGGTGGTGGCTTTATCACCCCTCTCCTTGGAAAGGGCTAAGCCCTGAAGGGTGCATCGGGATCCAGCTTCCCCATCCAACAGACTGAACCGGCCTGGGCCTTTGGAAAATTATTAACAAGCATTCAAATATGATTTTTTTTTTTTTCCTCAGAACAAACTCCTCAGGTGAAGTAGATGAAGATCTTCAAGAAAATTAACTGAATGTACTTGGCAGATTGTCTGCCCAGAGCTCATGGTGCCACCAGTCTGTAGCACAGCTTGCAGCACCACAAGGTGAACGGGGAGCTTTCTCGATATTCTGGCAAATCTGCAGCAGGCTGGTAGGAGTAAGCACATGCTGGGATGCATTGGGACATTGATTAAAAATCCCCTGGCCAGGCTGCTGTGTGTGCTTCTCATTCATGTCTCGAGCATCACTCAGGCGTGGGTATCACCCTTGACCGAAGGCTGGCTGGTCTGCAGCTGAGCGGTGACTGGCAGCAAGACAGGCGAGACTTTACCTGACTTCAATTTGCCATGACAGGTTTAAAACCACCAGGGTATAAAGAATAGCGGAGGCCCCTTCTGAACCCACTACTGTCACTAATACAGAAACTTAATAACTCATTGATAAACCTTCAGAGTAGAAATACGCAAAACTCCCCTATGTACAGTAACATTCTTGTTTACATCAACTGGGTTAGGAATTTGATGCAAGGATTGCCACTGGTTGTTATTGTTTTAGCTACGTGATTGGGACTTGTCTGGAAAGAGCAAGATCATTTGGGATAATTCGTTATCAGCAGCTGCTGACTCCGTTGCTGCGTCTGAGCAGTTGGCGCGACGTGGAGGAGGCCCATGGTGTGCGGTTGTGTTGCACACCCAACCTCCACCTACAGATGATTGAATCCCCTTGGCCATGCATAGGCAATTCCAGTCTTTAGTCCATCTCTGAAAAATGTGGTTCTAACTAGCTCCCTTCTTCTCCCATTCCTGCCAAGGAATAAAGGCAAATTAGTCAAAAGGCAAATCTGGCAAGCCACTGTAGTGCACAGGATCAACCCGATCATCCGGTACCCGAGTGTTTTGGCCACGGGGTGGGTGAGTGATGTCTCTCTGTTATAAGCAATACATGCATCTATTCATTTAAGTCACAGCCAGGGCAAGCCCAGGTGAAGAGGCCAGAGGAAAACCAGGCTGGCCGGCTCTGAGTGGTGCTCAGTCAGGGGCGCTTCCCAGACCCCCACAGCCCCGTCCCACCACACCCAGTCTGCTCCACTGCTGGGAGGGAGAAGCAGCGGCTGTCCCAGATGGATTTTTCTCCTGTACCAACTGGCGCATTACCTTAGCTTTCTGTAGGACTGTTCCCTTCCCCGTCACCATGACGGATAAAGGCCGGTTTTTTAAAGCCGTTGCTGAATTGACTGGTGAGTTCTCTGTGCTACTTGCTGGACTGGCACTTTTTGCCTGGATCTACAGTAAAAATATTATAAATCATGATGACTTCAGACTACTTTCCGCACCAGCATCTCCTGGAAAAGCTGAACAGCCACAGCCTGCCTGCACGGAGGTGTGTTTTTCAGCACCATGCCAATTTTGAGCCACCACCAGGACATACATATGTAACGCATGTGGGTGTTGAAGCCTTGAGCAGAGGTACGGAGCAGGGCTCAGGCAGTGACCATCTCCATGTCCTGGGGAC